TCGGATCACATGAACAACGAACAGAATCGCCCACTACTTCCAGACCAGCATTTCATGAAAGAGATAGAATCGCTTCTCCGGTTATGATATTTAAAGGCTCCCGAAGCAAGAGTTTACAGACAAACAGTTTAGGCCTGGCTGTGGGTACTTCGCCCCGAATGATAACACGTGCGGCAGCTCTGAAACTGTCGCCTAAAAAGGAATTCTTCGATTTGAAACATATTAGTGAAGAGATTAATCATGAACTTCAAAATATTGATATAACACCCACTCATGGCGTTAAATATAAGATCCAGAAACCAAATTGATTTCCACTCTCATCTCATTGTCGTCATCAGCCATAAGATGATCGGATCATTTGGTTTCCATAAGACACTAATGAACTAATATTTACGACTATTTATATTTGTGATTACCGTCCGATGTTTAGTCTGTTTGAGATTATGTCAAATCTGATAGATTTCATAAAGTGAAGCATTTTATGTAAATATGATAATAGTATTATAGTGTATATTGTTATATAATTATGAATAAAATTGTTTACTTATTTGTTTATAATTAATGTTGAAATCAAATTTATCAACATAAGTTAACAGTTATCAACAACTTCTCATTGATATTACAGTAAGTTGGAATTTAGCCAAGCTAATTAGTCTTTATGTTAATTGAAGTCTATGTGTTCTTTTGAATAATTAATTAAATATAAATACTGTACTGTACTATCTCAAAACATATTTTTAAAAATATTTATTTTATTTTATTTGCAGATTATTATTTATAATATACAGTATAGATATTATTTTGCAAATAGAGTGCAAAAAGGAGATAATATGAAGTCTTAAGTGATGGACAGTTGAGAGCACTTAGTTTTTGGAGTAAAGTCGTGAGTGAGACTCATGATCGTTGAATCCAATACTATAATTTACCACAAATAATTGTTTTACACAATATACAGGTCTATATTCTATTTATATTAATACTTTATTGCTGTTTTATATCATTTATATCATTTTTAATAACAGGTTTATCACAACAATATTTTCTGTAATTTTACTAATACATTTTGAATATCCCATCCTAATTTGATCCCTGTCCTAAAATTGGGTTGAAATTTTTTTATTCAATGTATTGTTTTCAAAAAAATGCCAATTATATAATTTATCATAATTGTTATACAAACAATTATCTTCTTCAAATATAGGAATAATATATTTTTACATTTCCACAAAATTATGAGAATAAATATTTATTTTGAGGATATATTACTGGATTATCATAACAAAATTATGATATTTATAAAATCGTTGCACTAATGCTTAATAGACTTAAATTGTGTTTTAATAAAGCTTAATAAGTTTAAGTGACAGAAAAAATAAAGCAAAAGATGTGAAAATAATAAATTGAAAAAATTGAAGGTATTATCAATAATGGGATTATAACTAACCAAGATGTAATGAGTGTTGAGTAGTAATAAATGGGTTTCTATTAAAATAGATTATGAACTAAATCTGTGTATCAGATCTTGTGTTGTATTTTAATCTAACATTTGAGTGACAGAAGGAAAATATAAACAAAACATTGAAAATTAGGTCAGGGATTGAGTGATTAAGTGAAGATCACTTCCGCATATCATCACTGGATATCACTTTCAATTGTTCTCTAAAGTGGAACTCTTTTGGCAGTGAAGCCAATATTGGTTTACAAGTTTAGCTCTGGTTTACGCTCTCAATACAAGTGCTGTACAGTATTGAGGACTGGGAGTTGGGAGTGAGAGCACGGGTTGAACAAGAAAAAAAGCGGGCGAAGGACATGAGTGATAGATATTGAATAATAATAACAATATTAGATCACTTGCAGTAGATATTGAGGAATATGTTCACCACAATATTGGCTCCATTTGACAGAGAAGTTGTTTATGAATGGCTTAGTGTATACCTAATCATCACATCCTTGGACTACAAAATCACTTAAATTCTATTCACTATAACTGAAGAAGAAATGTCTATATTTTATATAATAATCGTCATTATCTCATATCTTTGCAACGATTGCAAGTGTTTCATACAAATCATCGATCAAAACATACCAAAGAGTTTAATACTCGGCAACTCTTCCGACATAATCGTCGACATCGGAGAGGATGTGCTGCTGGAGTGCGACACAAGTAATGACACGAAAAGCTTTGAGTGGTATCGGAAAGAAGAGCATTGGTTTAACCACGAATTACCTGAACAACGGATCTTCTTCGACGAGCAGTACCTGTTGGTGAACGAGAATAAAGTTTCCACAGTTCTCTACAAATGCATTACTCGAGAATATTCCGGATTCTATTTAATCAAATCATACAAACTATATGTCGATAGACTGCCTAAAAGGCAAAGAGGTTTGCAGTCTTTCATCTCTTTATAAGAACTTATTTTCAACAAACAATTCTTTACAGAGAATATTCCGGATTCTATTTAATCAAATCATACAAACTATATGTCGATAGACTGCCTAAAAGGCAAAGAGGTTTGCAGTCTTTCATCTCTTTATAAGAACTTATTTTCAACAAACAATTCTTTACTCGAGATATACGTAAGCGTTGTTTACCCCCAAAATGCAAGCCTTACGCCACTGTTTGGGACGCAAAGTGCGATCGAGTCGTACTGAACCTCACTTATCCTCATTCACAGCACGGCTTCAATCAAAGTACAAAAGTCTGGGGAAATGTCTTATGTAATGACGAAATCGGAGGTTTCCAGATATGGGTATATATTATATTATACTATACTTTTCATATATTCTATATACTCTCATATATTCTATATACTCTCATATATTGTGTTATGGGTACAGGTCGTCGGTTACGGTATACTTAAGAGGTTTCTGCCCCGTAAGTGACCCCCTTATCATACATATGTCAATCACCTTATAAAAGCCTGTAATGATAACCTTGATACTATATACTGCAGAAGATGTCATATCAATCGAAAAGCTAACTCCAGGGAAGTCCTACTGTTTCAATGGGTGGGC